ATAACGCCCCCACGGCTGAAAGGGCGAGCATGTTTGGTGTGACAGGGATTCGAACCCGCGACCCTCAGATTGCGAGTCGAGTGCCTTAACCACCTGGTCATGCCAGGACGGTTTGATATGCTATGTAGATATGTACAATGATATTCTCCACTTCTAGCTTAGTGACACAACCTTCTTCACATTCCCATGGGAATCAACAATATTCGTGTGGGTAGCACTCGCATCCTTAGATGAATTTTATTATTGTTTCATGTATATAAACTTATACTTCCTCATTCTGAAAAAACAACAACCTTGAGAGACTCTTAAGAGGGGAGATACTTCTTCTACTACTTTTTTCTGAGAGTAAAGAAAAAGAGAAGACGAGTATGTTTATGACACCTTTACAAAGAGAAGACGAGTATGTTTATGGCACCTTTATAAAGAGAAGCCGTGTATGTTTATGACACCTTTAGGAAGAGAAGACGAGTATGTTTATGGCAATAAAGGTGCCATAAACATACTCGTCTTCTCTTTATAAAGATGCCATAAACATACTCGTCTTCTCTTTATAAAGGTGCCATAAACATACTCGTCTTCTCTTTGTAAAGGTGCCATAAACATACTCGTCTTCTCTTTATAAAGGTGCCATAAACATACTCGTCTTCTCATTATAAAGATGCCATAAACATACTCGTCTTATCTTTAATTATTTTTCTGTATTATTTAAAGATCGTTTCACTTTATTTCCCTTTGCCTCTTTCTTTCAAAGTAAAATAATACAAACTTACACCAGTTTTAATTTGTGATGTATTTGGTGCTCACTCCAACACGTTTGTATATAAATATATCTCGTATTTAGCATTTCGAATTCACGTTGAAACAAAATACTAAGATAGTTACTTTCGCTTGTCTTTATTACAATGTAATTACTTAGAAATTACTACTTACTAGTGTCTTTGTTTGGTGAGATAAATTTTACAAGTGCTTTAACCTCCTGGTATTCTACTTTCTGATACAATGGACGAACAGGTAAACAACGTTCCAGAGAATTATTCAATACTACTCGTTCGTTGAAATATTTCATGTAACAAAAATTCAAACTAGTAACCGAGACATCTTCCCCTTAGTTTTAGAAACGTTGTTTCTCTTTTGTTTATATTACCTTATTACTGTTATTCGAAAGTATAAAATACGTTTACCTTAATAAGAGAAACGTCCACCACTTGGTACTTATTCGGACCTGGCGTTTTTGCGTAGTTTTCATCAGAGGCTCCTACGGTAGATCTACCAGATATAGTATAGCTCGGTAAAGATCTAAAATGAGAAACACTTGGCCCAAGACAAGCTGGTAAAGTGTAGGCGTTCGGTGCTGGTCTTAAGTCCACCTTCTGAAGTTTCGGACGTCCACTTATTGAATAGGATGGAGCTCGTCGTTCTTTAGGAGGATGAAACTTTTCTGGAGAATAAGCACCGGGTCCAGGAGAAGCAAACGATGCTATGGCAAATAAAAGAAAGAGAAATAAACAAAAGTCAGGAGAAGAATTTGTGTGTATGGTTATAAATCTTATTTCGTGTTGAAAAAAAAAACCGTTAACTATATGGCTTGTACAATCATGAAGTCTTGTTGCAAATAGCTATACAAATGTTCTATTTTCTAAATCCCATTCGTGTGTTCATAAATTGTCTTAACTCATTACTTGTAAATTATTTAGGTGATTCGTTCACTGTTAATGAGAATAATCTGTCTCTAGTTTTTCGAGGAATCTTCAATCTGATAAAGTAATAACTATAAGGAGGAGTAATACTTTATTTTTGTTATGATAGTTGGTAGAAATTTTAAGTGTTAGTTTTGATTAGAAGTGTAATTCAGTCTGTTGTATAAATTGAGTAACTAGGCACATCTGCTTCAAATCTGTAACTAAAATTTTTCTTGTCATTTTTTTAAAGTGGTAAGCAGCTATCATGTATTTTATCTTTTTGTAGTTTTATCTAAGTTTTAAGTTTTGTAAGTTTTAAGCTCTATTTCAGGATCAAGAAAATCTGCATTAAACCACGTGCTAGTTGAGTTTAAGTGTCTCATCATTTGGGATTGAAGACTTTTAAAACTTTTGATTTAAATTTAACATAACTTAGTGTCTATAATTACATTTAAACCTTCGTCTTAATTTCAGCTTACTCAGTTGTAAAACAAACTATTAAAGGTTTTCACGTATCTTTTGATAGTTAAACACATCTACTGGACACATTTCCCCTTATGCTTTGTTTTGTATTGTACCCTGTTCTGCTTCTGTAAGTTATGATTTCTTGTTTCAACAGTACATTTGTGTATGGCCTCTTTCTGTGCAATGAACTCGATGAACTCGGACAGAGCTCAAAGGGAAATATACTCCATAATTTGATTTCATTGAATGTCTAAGTGATTATTCTGAGGTAAATCCGCAAGCCGAAAAATACCACAGAGGCAACAATGTCAACAATATTTCATTAATAGCACATACATCATGTAAACCTTTATTCGTGTTCTTCACATTTATACACATATACATGTATATATATATTAATTTCTTATTTTACTTTGGAGTACACCTACAAAAAATATGAAACGTTAAAGGTCCGACACTTTCTGTGCTAAATAATAGTGACTAATGGAGGCAACTATCGTGTGTTTTAAGAATTACTAAATAATATTTTTGTTTGTTTGTAATTAAGCACAAAGCTACACAATGGGCTATCTGTGCTCTGCCCACCACGTTGCAAGTCCGCAGACATACCGCTGTGCCACTGGGAAGCAATATTTTTGTTATCATATATATATATATAAACACGTATATAATATAGTTTAAAATAATTTCTGTCCACAAAATATAACCTATTGATAACTCTGGCAATAATTCCAAAGTATGAGGTAGCATTAAATATAAATAAACACTTGCATATATATATAAAGGACAGAAAATTTTAAAACTCTAATTTAAGAGCAAAAACATTTTTATTGTAATTAGAAATTTATTAAAACAGAAAAACTGAAACAGTACATAATTAGAAAATACGATGACTCACCTAATTCCAGTTGTCTACTTGAAAGAGTATAAGCTGGAGCTTCTACTCGACCATGTCGATTAATTGATGAAGGAATGAAGTAACATGGTCCTGGAGACGATTTCTTATTAACTTAAACAAGTGTCAAAAAGAGAAATATTAAAAACAATTCATTGTTAATGTCTATCTTCTTAACATGTTAGAGGTCAACAATATATAGCAGCCACTTTTTCTATAGCTTTAGTTATAATCACATGATATAACAATGTTCTGTAGATATTTTCTTATTTCCTTCTGTAATATGATACACTAATCTAAATAATCTATAAAATAGCACCTTGTGTCGTCAGTAATAGTTTGTAGTTCTCTAAATAATCTATAAAATAGCACCTTGTGTGTCAGTAATAGTTTGTAGTTCTACAAACTATTACTGACGACACAAGGTGCTATTTTATAGATTATTTAGAGTGATATTTTATAGAACTATTTTATAGATTATTTAGAGAACTACAAACTATTACTGACGACACAAGGTGCTATTTTATAGATTATTTAGAGAACTACAAACTATTACTGACGACACAAGGTGCTATTTTATAGATTATTTAGAGAACTACAAACTATTACTGACGACACAAGGCACGTTGTGTCGTCAGTAATAGTTCGTAGTTCTCTAAATAATCTATAAAATAGCACTTGTGTCGTCAGTAATAGTTTGTAGTTCTCTAAATAATCTATAAAATAGCACCTTGTGTCGTCAGTAATAGTTTGTAGTTCTCTAAATAATCTATAAAATAGCACGTTATGTCGTCAGTAATAGTTTGTAGTTCTCTAAATAATCTATAAAATAGCACCTTGTGTCGTCAGTAATAGTTTGTAGTTCTTCTAAAATCATATTTGTGGATTTTGTACTTCGAATATTTAAGGGAATGATATAGAGGAATGTTTCGCCCGATGGAATTTTAAACTGTCTCAAATTTACATTACTCAAACAATGTCTTGTTCCCCTGAAGACACTAATATTATATAGAAAACACAACTATTTGGTTATCATTAAATCCCTCTCACATATACACGCACATTGAGATAGATATATAACACGATGAGTTTCGGCCATAGATTTACATTTCCATAAGAACAATATTAATAATTTTATACTAACTGATCTTAGTTTTTAGTCCATAAGAACAATATTAATAATTTTATATTAACTGATCTTAGTTCGTAGTCCATAAGAACAATATTAATAATTTCATACTAACTGATCTTGGTTCTTAGTCCATAAGAACAATATTAATAATTTTATATTAACTGATCTTAGTTCGTAGTCCATAAGAACAATATTAATGATTTCATACTAACTGATCTTGGTTCTTAGTCCATAAGAACAATATTAATAATTTTATACTAACTGATCTTGGTTCTTAGTCCATAAGAACAATATAAATAATTTTATACTAACTGATCTTGGTTCTTAGTCCAAACGAGAATGCAGGATTTCTCCTCTTTGTGAAGTCATGTCCGGTGAATCCAACATTTCCAGGCAAGAGATATTTTCCTGGTCCAGGACCTGATTTTTAAAATACCAAATGCTGAAAATATTGTATTAATTTTACTCAGAAAATAACTTTTAAAATATTATTTTAAAGTGTGTGCTATATAAGTCAAAATAAACATACAAGATTGAAGTATCTATAACAGAATGACAAATATTCTATTAATACTTGACAGTAGTTCTTTAATGGTTGACCTGCTTTATGGTTATATATGTATTTTTGTGGAGATGTGAGTATACATAGGAATTCTTGGTCAATAAAGCCTCTCGCCTATTAAATGAAAGCCCCTTTCTAGTAGAGACCATACATTGTATCAAATATAAGAAATGATGTTATTTACAGAATCCTGAACAACGTGCAGCCCAAGCCAAAGGTCATCCACTGCAATCGTATTTGGAAGTACATTAGTGGAAAAAAGGAAATAGTTAACTTCAGATAAGGATCAGCCAGTGGAAAGTTAACCTGCGGAAGAACACAATGTATCTATTGAGCCTGCTTCCAAAGAATCCCCTAAAACATAGCCACAGTGTATCTATTGAGACTACTTCCAAAGAATCACCTAGAACATAGCCACCAGTGGATTCCCTCGACCACCTGTCTAGAGGAAACTCCCCTCTCCCCTACTGACCAGATAGCAAATAGAAGTAAGCGACAAGAGGTCATCTCATTTGCATATCGAAACTTTGGAAAAGAAGAACACCAAAAAAAAAAAAACTTGCTTAGTTGCAGTTTAGAAATAGTAACATAAGATAGAGGTTTTGTTATGTTGATTGGAAGTTTTATTGTAGTTTGTTTAATCAATAATATGATAACTGGAGCGCCTATTTGGTAATATTAATTTTTGTTAATTGTAAATAATGACTTTATTGTTAATTATGGAATTGTAAGTCTGGTGTTCTGTTGTATTTATATATTAGGACTGTTCAAGATACTTTACAATTTGAACTGCCGACAATAAGGGATGGCAACCGACTTGCAGCATCCGCCACCAACTTTTGGGTTACTCTTTACAAACGATTAATGGATTGTTCATTACATTACAACCCTTCCAAAGTTGAAAGGACATCCATATTTGGCGCCGGGTTTCGATCCCGTAGCCTGCAGATTATGAGTCGAGTGCTTTAACCATTAGGTCATGCCTAGAATTTTAAGGCAATCTGTTGGATCAAAACTGAATTAATAATATGAACACTAATACTCTTTAAATGAAATACTGTTTAATTAAATGTAAATTTCTTCCTACAGATAGGTTCCTTAAGTTATATGTTTTAACCATTTATGTATTATTAGTGTTCCCGAGTAATATGCAGATAACCAGTTACTAGACATATCTTCATTACTGGTGTACTACTAAATTAAAAAAGGGAAAGCATTAGTCTTTAAAATATGATCAGAAACTTAGCTTGGAACTGTATGATAAGAAACTTAGCTTGGAACTGTATGATAAGAAACTTAGCTTGGAACTGTATGATCAGAAATGAGCTAACTTAGCTTGGAACTGTATGATCAGAAATGAGCAAACTTAGCTTGAACTGTATTCCAGAGACAATACTTGAAGTGAACAACAAGTTTTACGTGTCTCGTGAGTAAAGTTGTAATCCTTCCTTACTTTAAAGTTGAAGAAGTTAGTTTCATTAAGACAGAAGGACGCCATGTACAATGGCTTTATTTAATTGTTTGTTTGTTTTGTATATTTATGAAGATTGTTTTATATTGTTAGCTTTTATGAGTTTAGAGCTTTTTATGTTTCCTAAGTTGGGTGAGTTCCTTGAGATACTATTAGAATTACGGCCGAAAATATCGATAAAAACAAAGGTACCCATTTGAAGAATCAATGTATTCTTATCCTACTATAATGGACGTAGCGTGTATATATGTATCTATGTATGTGGCCGAAATAATAAATGAAATGTGGAGTCATCTATTGAATGGCACCACAAACAAAAGTCCATAAAAAATGTAACACTTTGAGTATTCAAGATTGAGACAGAAAATTAACCAACTTTATTAATCATTTCTTTATCACAGAACACAATTTTAAATAAAAGTACTCTCCTCACATTAAGAACACGACTTTCACTAGGACTGTATGTGAGGGTTTGATTATATCTTTATTGATGTAATTTGTAGGTATAGTACTAAAAAAATTGAGTTCTTAAAAAATTGTTATTTTTTCAATAAACGGTACCACTTTTAATATATAAAAACATTACAGTTTATATCAGCACAATCCGAACACTTTTCCCATGCAGTACTTCCCCAAAACATTTTTTTTTTAGAAAATGTTCACTTTTTCTAATTTTTTTTCAGTGACATATGAATAGTATGAAACTACCAATAGTTATTATTAACATAAACGGCCGCCCTTAGTGCGGCGTTTCTGTTAGTCTTTATAATTTTCGTTTTCTGCGAATTTGTGAACTTCTAGTTAGACTGATATATTAAATTATCTACATTAATGACCAACTTAATTTTTAGTTCTGATCTTGCTTTAATCAGAAGTTAATGATAACAGTTATCAAAAGGCTTCATTACGCGGGACAATTTCATTATCGAATGGAGAATATCACCTTCTAACCCCTGATGAAAGACTGTCTATCCACCCGAAAGCTAGGGGCTAAACAAACTGTTCTGTAGACCTATAGGTGCTTCAAGGTTTAAAGTACACCAATATATGAATTAGCGAAAAAAAACTGTAAAATATTATTTGGTGTGTTTGTTTCTTTTGTTTTTGAGAAAAATGCTACACCTTGGGCTATCGGTGCTGTGCCCACCGCTAGGTTAGAACCCCAAGTTATAGGTTATAAATCCAAATGCTAAGCCGCCGGAACAATATTATTTGGCAATGATAATAATAAAAACAGTTTTATCTCAAGTCGGATACTTATTGAGCAGTTTTTAAACCCCTTTCTTCCCCTGCTGGTCTACAGTACGTCTGAAGGCTTATAACGCTAAAAACCGGGTGTCGGTGCCCATTGTGTAGCTTTGTGTTCAATTACAAACAAATTCAGTGATAAGTTTACTGAATTACAACACTAAAATTCGGGGC